CCTAGGGAACCCGAGGAGGTGAAGGGCACAGATGTGGGTGCCTGAACGTCTGGGTTTGAATCCTTGCCCTGCCCTTTGCTGTGTAAACATTGGCACATTACTAAACCTCTGCGTGTTCCTTACTTCCTCACCTTTGAAACAGTAGTAACGCTGTTCCCTTTAAAAGGGCTGGGTTTGCTTTAGTTTTTTTAGGGGAGTGTACAAATTACTGTCTGAAGAATTTGAAACAGTGCCTAGCAGATAGGAACTATTAAGTATTTACTAAATCTGATTTTTTTTTACAACTTTTTCTTCATATCTACCACTCAATTTTTTTTTTTTTAAGATTTTTTTTTTTTTTTTAATTTGAAAGTCAGGATAAGGGGAGAGGTGAAGACAGAGAGTGTCTTTCCACTGGTTTACTCCTCCAAATGGCCACATCAGGAAGGGCTGGTCTAGGCTGAAGCCAGGAGTTCTATTTAGCTCTCCCCCATGGATGGCAGGGGCCTGCTTGGACCACCTTCTGCTGCCTTCTCAGGTACCTGGGCCGGGAACTGAATTGGAAGCAGAACAGTCAGGACTCAAGCCTGCACTCCAGTGGGGGATGCCAGCAGAGCCAACCGCAGTTAACCTCCTGCACGACACACAACGCTGGCCCACACCACCAACACATTCTATTAGGAATTCATCGTTCCCTTGCCTGTTTCTCAGTTCGTTAAACACATTCCAGATTTCATTTTGGCAGAGGCATCTGCAGGGGTTTCCAAGTCACTTTGCGTGTTCTTATATATTTGTCTATCTTTTATTGAATCAGGTAATTCACCTTCTCTATTGGAAACACATTCTTTTGAGATACCTTTTTTTATTTTTGTATTTAAAGGGGAAGGGGACTTCTCAAATTGCTAAACAAAGTCCCTGATGGTACTGGTCGCCATGATGTCCTGCCAAATATGAATGCCTGTTCAGCCTGGCTCCCTAGTTGTCAGTGTGGTAGAGCTTGATTATAAATGTATGAATGCTTTTAGATTAAGATTTCATGAGCCACTGTATTAAGTGCTTTTCGGAAGTCCAGGGATCATGTGTCAAATGCATTTAAGCAAGTTCCTTAGTTATTTGAGCGGGAAGAGCACCAGTAGGTCTGACTGGCCTGCCAAAAGCAGGAGTGTGTGACTGCCTCTTCCTGGTTATCTGTCTTGTTCACTGGCTTTTGGTGTTTTTCCTGTTCCGTTGGAGAGCTTGAAATAAACCACAGGGCAAGTGCAATGGAATGGTCTTTTCCCGTTCGTTTTATCCAGAGAAGTCCTATGTGTGTCTTTTTACTTTGATTTTCTTTGTCACTCTTTTCAGTTGGCCCCTCAGTTCGCGAGCCACCTTGCTTTGATGGAACGTTGATGCCTGTCACCTGTATTCTTTTGCGGAAATCCAGTCACCTGTGCTTTTCCCTTCTTTCCTTTCATAAACCTGTTTTCTAGATAAACAAAGATGATCGCTGTTCACTAGTTGGCTCCTTTGATTTATTTTTCTTGAGAGTTGATCTTGAGTTTTGATTTGCTGTTGTTTTGGTTATCCTAGCTCTCGCACTGCTCAGAATAGTTTTGGTGTCTGCTTCAATGACAGTATGGTCCCCTTTCCTTCTTGCTGTCTTTAGCGTGGTGGGAGGGCTTCTCATTTGCCGTTACTCCTGGTTGTCTCCACACACGTCTTTCTTCTGGTAGCGCTGGCCGGACCCACAAACTGCATAGTGATTCCCACGACCCTCTTACAGAACTTCTGCCCTAAGCGCAAAAGAACTTATTTATCTGATTTCTTGCCTGAAATCTGGCTCTTTGGAAGTCTTGAGCCAAAAGGCACTTGCAGGTAGATTGAAAGTGCCATGACATTATTGCCTCCGATCCTAAGATATTCTGATTTTTATTGCATGTGTGCATTTTGAGTACTACCTGCCCAATTTAAGGTAAGTGACATGCAGCATGAGGGTTTTAAGCTTTCCTGTTGCATTTTGGGCTAAGCTCTCCCCAGGAATAGAGTGTACCGGAAGCATAGGGTTGCTTCTTGATGTGGTCTGGCACCAGGAGTCACATCCCAGTCCACCTTTTAGACTAAGATGTGATTAAGGATATTTTTAACCTCTGTGCTGCACTTTCTGTATTGATGCTATACAGGTGCTGACATTATCTCCTTTGAAATGTGTGCAGCTTTTTCTGTTGCCTTGACTCAAAAGTACTGTGTTTGGGGATTAAATATTTTCTGTTTACAAAATGGCTAGCATGACAGATGGTAAAGCATGCTTACTGAACCCATTTGGGCGGAGGGCTTCCTACATGGGGACCCATTTTCTGATCCTTTGCAGTAGTTAAATAGCCATCATGTAAAAAGCTGATTAGAGAATCACAACGTTGATACCCTGGAGTTTGCCTGGTTTCTGATTTTCTTTTGTGACCTTTAAATTTAGATTCATTAAGGTCAATAAATCAAGCATCTGGTGTGTGCTAGAACACGGTGGACCAGATTAACAAGTGTTTGGAGTGTTGAAAAGATAATTTTGTTTTTAAATAGTTTCTGTTAATTTTCTGTTAAGGTTTTTATTTTTGTAATTTTTATGTTTTTAATTAATTTTTTAAAAATATAGCTAATGCATTCACATGATGAAAGAAACCATTTGAAAGGCACAAAAAGTTCAGGAGTTACATACATCTCTCTCCACCCTGACCTCTGTTGTCTCATTTTGTTTCTCAGATGCAAGCTGAAGTTTCCTGATTTTCATCCTTCAGAAGTGGCTCATGCCCTTCAAAGATATTTTATGCATCCATAAGTAAATTCCTGTGAATATTGTGCACACACATACACACCCCTGTGTGCACAAGTGCTTGCACCTATATGTGTGGTGTGTGGAGCTTTGCTTTATTTCACCTACGATTTCTTGGCAGTATGGAGTTTCCACATCATTTCTTATGAAGGCCATCTCATCTACATACCTGCTTGCTGTTTCTAAGACTGCGGCAATATCACATGCAGAAACTAAAGCTGTTGTGGATATTTGGGAGCAAATGTTTGTCTTCTCCAAGTCCTGCAGCTGTTAGCTTGAGAGGAGGCTGTGTGAGGTAGGGCTTCTCCTGAACGCCATACCACAAAGAGATGGCTAAGGAGTTCAGAGAAAGGAGGAGTGCGTGTCAGACTGGGCCCTTGACTTTGACCTGCAGGTAAAAACTGTGCAACTTCACAAGGGAAATTTGCTGTCTTTCTTTTTCCTTTTTTTTTTTTTTTTTTTTGGTGTTTTCTCTCTGCTCTCTGTTACAGGCCTCCTTGCTTCCCTAATACACATCTCTGTGGTATCCAAACCGTTTCTTATCCCGACAGCATCCACTCTGCCCTTGCTTTTGGGCATTAAAGGGCACTCCTAGCCTTCATCACCGGCCTTTCTGTTTGAGTAACTTTATTGAAGTCTCCCACCCTTTATCTGCTGTCACTCACTTCTCTGTAAAGAATCCTAACCAAACCTATGGTTAACCTTTGTCACTCTTCTTGGAGGTGTTTCCCAAGATCTGCAAATCACTCTGCCACTTCCAAGGTCCAATTGTTAGCTAGCTTTGCCTTGCTTGTACTCTTTCACTGGTGCTGGCTTTAAAAGAAAAGATTTCAGGGTTTTCATGTTGGAGTTTTCTGTGGCTGTGCTTGTATTGTAGATAACAAGATAAACACTGATTTAAGAGTGATCATTTTTTGATTGCTCTCGGATCTTGCCTATTGCATGCGTTTTTTTCTCTCGTCTTTGATTATGCCTTAACTTTGAGCTGGCTTTTATTTACCTCTGTGTCTGATTGAAAGTCACCTTCCAGTGTAATCTAGAGTCATTGCGTTCTGGTCTTTGCTGATTGCTGGGTATCCAGCACGGATAGCGTATTTGTAACGTGATGGTAGGGATATTGTGTTATCAATTACACTCCTGCAAGTCTCTCTTGCATAGGAGAAATTTTGGAAAACTGTCCGTGTTCATACAATAACCGCAGGCATGTGTTTGTGTACTCTTGCCTTAGTCATGTCACTCAGGGCAAGAAAAAAACAAAAATTGGGAAGTCCAACATAGGATTGTTTATCTTCCATCATCATCAATTTCATTTAAGGAGAATAATTCTAGCACCAGGATTGTTGGAAGGTCAATATCTCAGAATCAAGAGAACCTTTTAAAGACAATTTTTAGTTTGATAAAATGGCTAATGACCTTGGAATCTTAGCATTTAGAAGGGCCAAAAGTAGAGGATATTATTCAAGGTATGGTTCTACTTTTAAAAAGTTTTCCTAAATGGCACTAAGCTCATTTCTTGCTGGAAATCCAGGCTAACCTAGCAGTAGCATCATTTGGTGTCTTTGGGTGGTGTGGACCACACAATGTTGAAAATGCAGTTGGCAGCATTGGACGTTGTCCTTTGACACCAGAGTTCTGCGTTTCTTCACATCTAATGTGTCACATTGTGATTCTGTAGGAGTAGGAGGTGACTGATACAATCTGTGGCGATTGAGTAAGACCCCATGGCAGCGTTTGCATTTTCATTCTTTTGAAACTTGTATTTAAAATGATTAAATTCATGATCTAACATGTCAGCTGGTGACAGAGATTGTTTCTGAGATAGCATTTGACTTCTCATCCAGGTCTCCATCATATTTTTTGCTCTCCTTTTGTTGCAAATTTCCCAATCCAGCACCAAGAACATGTTCTTGAGGTTTCTTGAGTTCTTGTTGGATTAAGAACATTCAGACTTTATGCTTTCATGTTAACAATAATTGGAAATTTTAAGATTTGCTTACTTTGAGCATCAGAGTTACAGAGAGAAAGGGAGAGACAAAGAATCTTCACTCACTGTTTTACTCCTCAGATGGTTGCAGTGGCCCAGGATTGGGCCAGGAGATTCATCCAGGATTCCCACATGTGTAGCAGAGCCCCCAAACACTCGAGCCATCCTCAACTGCTTTCTCAAGCCATTAACAGGGAGCTAGATCAGAAATGGAGCAGCTGGGACACTGGCCAGCACTCACATGGGATGTTGGTGTTGCCAACAGGCTCTATCCTACCCCAATACCAGCCTCTGGAAATGTTTGAGCACTGGATGTCTGATTATATCAGGGCCACCCACATGGCCTCATATCCTCCATTCAAGTGTGAGTTGCTCATGAGCTGGGACCAGGAAAGCCGCTGTAATAGACTGAAGTACAGAGGTGGGCTTAGCACAGGAAAGGCCGAGAGCAGGGATGTGGGAAGGGGGTTGTTGCACTGCCCCACTGGCACAGGCCCTCGGGATGCTGACATTGTCAGTAGGCATCTACGCTCTGAAAACTGGTATCAGTCTCATTACCTTCATATAAGTTCATCAGAATTTTACTTGTGTTTATTTACACATTGTTTTGGTCTCCACAGATATAAAAGTGCTAGAAGGAGTTATGCTTGTTCATTTTAAGAAATGATATAATAAATAAGGACTGAATACAAGTAATTTCATTTAATTAAGAACTGAACACAAAGAGTTAATGCAAAGTAAACCAGGGAGGTTTCGTAGGACTAGTAGGCTCACTTTAGAGGCCACTTGAACCCTGAGTTCAAAGGACCTTGATGCAAGACTTTTAGCTCTCCGAGGCAGAGATTTCCTGGCATATTTGTATCCTGCACAGTTCCCTTCTGTGTTTTTGAGAAATATTAGTCAAGTTGAAGAATTAGCAGACCTTGTTATCCTAGGTGTACATGCAGCCAATGCTTTTGGCTCACGGTAATGAAAAGGAGCCCTCTGAAAGTAACTTCTCTGCTTCTTCTCTGATTGTCTCCTTTAGGAGTGAGCCATGACGTTTTCTTATTGATGTTTGCATGACCTGAACGCTTGCCAGGTTGACAATAGCTGGCAGTAGCTAAAGGCTGTTTGCCACATGTGACTCATCAGCCCAAGGTCGGTGGGGACTGTGGCTGGATGCCAAGTGAGCTGGGTCTCAACCAAGACGATGTCCTGTTGCTTGTGATCATCACCCATCCCTTTATTATCCTTTATTTGTGGGGATTTAAAGATGATATACAATAGGCAGTATTGTATGGCAAACCCCCATACTCCTTCACCCACAGCCCACCTACATGACTGGAGCTGTAATTAATCCATGGCCACTCGTGTATCCTCTATTATTCTAGCTACGTTTCCTCTAAGTTGCATTAATTTAGACTTAAATACAAAACATCATATAACTGCACCTATAAATACCTCTCTGATGTCTTGCATAGAAATGGACTCTGTAACTAATCCCTATCATATGTAAAATCAATAATAATTCTCTAATATTAGATATCCAGGCATTGTTCTCATTTCCAGTTTAAAAATGTCATAATTGTTTTTCTTAATTCTTTTTGAATCAAGATTCAAATAAGGATCACGTATCTTGATTGGGTTCTCTCCCTGTTATGTTTCTTTTGAGCCACAAATTTCCTCCTTCTCTTTTTTCCCTGCAATATATTGGAGAAACTTTGTTCTGTAGGGCATTCATGTATGATGGCATGCAAAGGGTGCAGTAAGGTAGAGTGTGGAAAGCCTTCCTTCCCGGAGGGCCAGATTATTAATATCTTGTATATTTTTCTTTTTTATGTAACTAGTAGCTTATTATGCAGGTTGTCCTACTTGTTTTGTTTACTTGAAATAATGCAGTTTGTTTAGATTTATTTATTTATTGTGCTTTTTTTCAAATGTAGAGAGACATCTTCCATCCACTGGTCTATTCTCCAGATGTCCATTATAAACAGGGTTTAGCTAGGCTGAAGCCAGTGCCTGGAACTCAATCTGGGTCTTCCATGTGGGGGCAAGGATCTGAGCATGGACGTGCCACATGTGTTTCTTCTCAGCATACACATTAACAGGAAGCCAGAATGAGAGCCAAGCCTGGATCCAGGCACTGTGATGTGGGAAGTGATTGTCAACACCTCCCTAGCACGGCACATTTTAGCACATTTTCATGTGCAGAGTGGTGTCCTGCTAACTTTCTCATGTGTCCAATTATGATTCTCTGTCTCTTAAAGATGAAGGGAAACACGCCACACCTAGGGTTTTACAATTGCACTGGAGTCCTGAGGGCTGAGAAACATTCTTTTTATTTTATTTTATTTTTTTTGGATTTTCATTCAGCATTTGTCAGGCCCTTTTGTTGCTGACACTGTACAGGTTTTTGTCCTCAGATGTTCCCTGGGACCTGGCCCCCCCTGTGCACCTCCATGGGCCGTACTCGGTCCTGGGGGGGCGGGGATACTTTCATGAATGTTTTGCTAAGCTTCCAACCTCTCACACTCCCTGCCATGTGGCCCATATTCACACTGTAGGCTTTAGGCTCTCAGGTTCCAAATACCCTGGCTGCAGTCCCCTCTGAAGTTCTGATCATAAAAATAGAGTGCTCACTCATTCTTGTCCATGACAGTGAAAAACGCATTCATCTAACTAGTGAAATGATAGAAGATGCCAAGTAGATTATAGCCAAGAATATTTTCCCCATTTAGAAAAGAATCTTTCTTTCCCTCACTCTGTCAGTAATATCGTCCATCAGTGATTATTGTTGACACAACTACACAGAAAGCTGGATGTTGCATTGAAATCTTCATTTTGCTGCTGCTGCAGAGCTTATACAAGTCATTAATATCACCCATTAGTGATTATTTTTGATACTACTACACAGAAAGCTGGAGGTTGCACTGAGATCTTCATTTTGCTACCGAAGAGCTTATACAAGGCATGTAAACAAAGAGACATGACAGAGCTTCTTGGGTTGGAGTTGAAGTGGTTGGGTCAGTCCAGGTCTTCAAATGGTCACCACAATGGAGCCGTGTCTTGCTCCTCTGCATTGCTAGAGCCTTCCCCTGGCCCAGGGAGGGCCTCTGTGCCCTAATGTCCTTGCTTGCATTAGTAACTCACATAGCTGATGTGAGTAGCAAATGAGGTAATGTCTGAGGATGCACACTGTACATAGTAAATTATGGACTTGGTCTCCAATGTCAACATCAGCTTATTTTGTGACATGCTTAAGGGGTCAGTGAGGTAATGTTTTCAGATTGCACACACCTAATGAGCTGCACTAATAGGAAATTTTAATATCAGATAGTTCTCTCCCTTCATTTGCAGAACTGGTGGTTTGAAGATAATGGTGTCAGAGTCCAAGCATAGAGCAGGGTTCCAGGATGAGAGCCTTCGATCCCTAATGCCGGTTCACAGGTTTGATATTTGGGTAACAGCCTAGTGGACAACCTAATGGTCCAGAATAGAAGAACTTCTATTCTGGAAACAACTGTGTGATCCAGTTGTTTCTGGTAGAAGTTGACTGCATTGGGGTTGGCAGAAATGGCTCACATGCAAGTCTCTGACCAGACCCAACATTGTTAAGGAACCAGACATTCAGCTCTGGACTGGGACCCATTCTAGCATTGGTGAAGTATGCCCCTCCCTTGCCTTCTCTGGCAGTTTTCCAATTTTAATTATAATAGAGGATACTCTAATGGATGGCACTTAACCTACGCTGTCTCATGCCTCAGAATGACTCTACAAGAAAGGCCTTATCATCCCCATTTAGTGGGCAAGGAGACTGGTATGCCAAGGGGTTATAAAACTTGCCTGAAGTCATACAATTCTATATTTAAGGTTTTTTCACCTACTTGAAAGGCAAAGCAACAGAGTGGGGGCAGGGTGAAGAGAGATCTTCCACCCCTTGGTTTATTCCCTAAATTGCTACAACAGCCAGGGTTGGACCAGGCTGAAACCAAGAGTCCAGAACTCCACGTAGATGTCCCATGCTGGGCAGTAGCCCAAGCACTTCAGCCATTATCTCCTGCCTCCTGGGATGCATTAGCAGAAAAGTGGATGGGAAGCAAAGTAGCTGGATTCAAACCAGCAATTGAATTGGGGATGCTGGCATCGCAAATGGCTGCATCACAAAGCCTGCCCCAAAGGGGCTGCTGTGCCTCAGTTCCCCTGCACCAGCAACTCCTGAGTAACCCAGCTGAAGCTCAGAAGCCACATCTGTCTGTTGCCTCTTTACCTTGCACACCCAGAGAAAGTGACTCAGTGAATCAGAAACATTTCAATACCAGTTCTTCTGGTCTGTTTCCACAGACATTTTCAGAATTCCACAGATGCTTGGAGAAAGGGTTTTTCTGTTTCCTTTGGATGTTATGAAGGAACCTTATTTTGTAATCCTACCAATCTCTTGATCTAGGTTGACCTAGGATTAATTGTGTTTCTGTTTATGGTTTGTGCACCAAATAAGCCCATTCTGTTGGAAAATGTTGGACGATTTTGTCACATCTTAGAGTAGCAGAAATCACCAGTCTTCTTATGGTCTTTGTCTTCCTCCGAGTGTCAATGATCATTTCCATCTGCCCCATCTCGAGAGCCTTTCCCATCTGCTACCTAGGACAGCTTGCCCTCACTTTGAATTCTCTTTATGAGGCATCAGTTTCTGATGTAGGCTTATAACTAAGTCCAGTAAGGTGGCCTTTACACAGAGAAGAAAGAAATGAAAGAAATACAGCACTGGATGGTGGCTCCTCTGAGAGAAAGCTGAACATTTTTTCATTTGGGGAAGGATAATTATTTGCCTGAACTTTGAAGTGTTGTTTCAGATATTCAAAAGCCACTGAGCTTTCTCTTTGGGTGCCGTGGTGTGGCAGTTACTAAAGGTCCATAGCTCTCAGCCTCACGTGATATTTCTTTATAAGAAAATTCTGTTCAAGAGATCACAGTGGTGATGCTTTTGGCTAACACCTCTCCAGCAAACTCAGTCAGTAAATAAGTATTTAGGAACTTGCCACTGTATGCTAAACCCCTAAATTTAAGTTTATATGTAAATTAATGTAAACATGAGCATTGAGTAAGAAAAATCCTGCCACATTAAAGCACTATGAATCATCACTTTTAGGTAAAGGTTAAGACTAGCAGATTTTCTAGTGATGAAAGGATATTTACAAAATATGAAAGTGAAACACTATATTTTAGGGCTGGGTGGATGGACCCTCAGGGCAGCTTCCTGTATTGTTCAGCAGGTTGTACAGAGCTAGTTCCCAGTGATGCTTGAATAGGGGATGAAAATACTTGCCCAGCATAGCTGTGGGCTGGGTTGTACTTAGCCAAGTAAATGCTTCTCGTGCCTCCAGCCTCACATCCGTCCCTCAGCTGCATAACATAGCACGCACAGCTTCGTGCACAGAGCCACAGTGGCATGTGTGTGGCGCTATCTTCCAGGCTGACGTCTGCATCCCCTGGTAAGCAAAGCACTGAAGCTTCTTTTCAGGGTGACTCATTGTCATTGCTCTCCAACCCATCCAGCTTCTGACTGCCTCACATTCTCAGGCCTTAGCTCAGCTAGCAGCCTAGCCTGATGCCTGTTCTTCCTCTGTCTCACCTGCTCTTCTGTTCCATCTGTTCCTGTGGCTTCTCAGCCATAAGTCTGCTTCCTCTTTTGTGCATGCTTGGTTCAAATTTATCCAGTATGTACAGCTAGTATTCAGAGTTTAGTAGTTAGTTATATACAGATTGGCACCATTTTCCAATTATTCCATGGATGCCATGCATTATACTTCTGCTGTGGTCCCTGCCAGAAATTAGAATGGAGTTGATTGATGCCTGTGGTATTCCATGGGGAATGGGGTGGTACCCTGTGATGTTGACACTGTTTTCTGTGGCTTTTGTCCTCTTCATTTACAAACCACCACTTTATCCAGGAGGATGCGCTTCACCTCTGCAGGTGGATGAATTTGGGGTACATGAGATCCTTTTCTTTCCCAGGCACAGAGAAGTATCTCCCCTACTTCTGATAAAAATCACCTTTTCTGCTGGCCAGCTCCTCACCTCCCAGGGAACTGACAAGCAGCAGCACTAGTGCATCAGGAAATGCAGGCAGTGAGCACAGCGGCTGAGTGTGTGTGCTGTGG